CCCCAAAACCCCAAAACCCCAAAACCCCTTGCATAGAGGTATTCACTCATCTCATTAGATTTAAAATATATTGTTCAATCAGTAAGTTATGATTTTGCTAATTATCGATTAAATTATTGGGTTATTATTGTGGTCTGCCTATGACAGCAAATATCTCAAATAAGGAGAGATTGACTATCATTAATACTTAGGCTATTATTTTTTTCTGATGTGAAATGCTTCTGGTTTAGCTAGTATTCCAACAGCTAAGCCAAATCCTGCTATTCCTAATGAATAGAAGATACGAGTTCTGTTGAAGAACCTAATATTCTAAGAGTATTAGATAGTTCCTTGAGAAGTTTCATGACATTTCTCTATTTACAAGGTTTTCATTCTCATAGGTGAAAGCATCCAAACTTTTCTCAAGTTTAGGCTCAAATTCTAGAAACCATTTAATTCATATCAAATTTCCATCTAGTTGGGGTTTGAGTTTGAATTTTTAGTAAATGGTATTGAAGGTAGTGATTCTTTGATAGCTTTATAATCGGGGGTAAAGGGTATTGATACTGTAGGAATAAGCTGCTTCCAAATTCTTCTGACTGTATGAATACAATTAGTAGTTAGGATTTTATACTCCAATGGTAATATTAAATCTTTGATTGATACATGTTACTAAACATCATGCCAATCTAACATTTTTTCCCATTTGTGACATAAAGTGTCATCTTTAACTACTATCTCATGAGAGCCTCTCTTGCTAACATTATTGGGGCTATTATGAATGACATATCTAGCACCATTCTCAAGTTCAACCATTACTCCAAAGTGATTCAAAGGTCTGAGAATTTTAGGGGCTAGGTAAAATATCCATACACAGGCTTTCTTAATCTTCAAATCACAGATGGCATTATACTCATCCTATGATACTTCATAATGATCCGCGGTTAAAGTGCGATGTGAGATTTCAGAGTCATCAAATTCTTACATTTTAGAGGACTAGATTAACACAAAACAACTACTAAAGAGAAAAGAATGGATATGAAAATTTGAAGATGAGAGGTTTATAGGTCTTTAATTAATTAATATTAATTTTTTTCGCCCATAATTTCTGAGATCAGAATAATTCTAGAATGATGGGGTTTTGGGGTTTTGGGGTTTTGGGG